TTATATATATATTTTATTGTATACATTCATATACTTGTACAAAAATGTACTTATTATTAATTATTGGTAAAAATATTTGTAAAAAATAATAATTTGAACATCATGATTTTTAATCAAATTAAATTTTTTATTTAAAAAAAGTTTTGATTTTCTTTCACGATCATATTTTTGATCTGAGTGAATACTTAGCAATAGATTCGGATCATTTATTAAAATGTCGTGAAATATTTCACATGAACTGGTCAAATTATATTTTACACTTAAAATAGATTTTTAAAGTTTTAATGTTCAACTGCGATTTTCAAAATNCATACAAACTTTAAATAGCACATTCGAGTAATTTTTATTTTTAAGAAAAGACAATGTAAATGGGTATGTTTATACATTTTTTTTAATTCCTCTAATAACTCCTACAAACTTTAAATAGCACATTCGTATCATTTTTATTTTTAAGAAAAGACAATGTAAATGGGTATGTTTATACATTTTTTTTAATTCCTCTAATAACTCATACAAACTTTTAATAGCACATTCGTATCATTTTTATTTTTAAGAAAGGGTAATGTAAATGGGTTTGCTAATGTTTTTTAATCTTGCAATAACTTATACAGACTTTAAATAACACATTCGCATTAGTTTTATTTCTGAGAAAGGTTTCAGTCAGTTATCGCGAGTACTATTTAAAGTTTTAAAATGGGTATGTTTATCAAATATTTTTTTATTTCTGTAATAACGTATACAGACTTTAAATAACACATTCGTATCGGTTTCGTTTTCTGAAGAGGTTTGTTATCTGAAATACTATTTAAAATTTTGTAATCGGTATGCTAATTTATTTATATTTTTGTGTTTATAAATTATAAAACAGAGTTCAAATATTTCTAGCGTTGTTTGATTTCATTACTTTGAGCAAATAATACCTCTTTTGTACATCCGCATCCGGTTTTTATGTTCTAGAATTCTATAAATTTATTCAGTCTAAAGAACTTTGACATTTTGAACGTGTTTTGTTTTAATTTTAAGCTGAGTAGCAATTTAATGCTTCACAAAAACCATAAATATATTTTTCACTTTTTCCTTCTGATTATTATCTAATTATTCAGGTAGTATTACTGTATAGCATTAACTCAGTTTTTGTGTAAACATTACTACTTTTAAGAGTTTTGTTTTATAAAAAAATCACTCCGGGTTTATATTTCAATTTTTTTTTGCTATTTCGCGGTGCAAATCTCATCAATTAAAACTGTTTTATTATAATATTGCTTATTTTTAATTTCATTGCTAATTACTATTACTATACTAATTAATTAATTACTTGTTTATTATAATACTTCCTTATTTTTGAAAAGTTTCTTATACAATTGATTTAATTACTATTTAAGTTTTGAAATTTGAAAAAGTTTAAAATTTTTGACTTAGTGTTTTTTTAATTCAATCGAAAGATTTTTCAACATTTCGTTTTATTTTCTTACACTTCAATATGTATCCTAATTTTAAATCAATTACTAAAACCTGAAACCAACTTTCTAGACATCAAACTATCATTTTTTTCTTAAAACGTTGTTAATAATTTGAATGGTTTAAAAGCTTTTGTATTTTAAATTTTTTTTTATCAAAAATTCGGAAAGCTGTTCATTTGATTAAACTGCAAATTATACATATTTTTAATACTTATCCAAATATTTTATTTAATCTTTAGCTTTCATCTGCGAAACTATTTTTTTTAAATATTTTTAAGGACCATATTTTTTAAATATTGCAATTTATACCATTTTTAACTCTTATTAAATGTACTAGTTTAAATTATTAATAAAACGAATAGTACGTAAAGTTTCATCCTATTCAGAAAGATAAGTTCAAAAAATGTGCTTTTAACATGGAAATAAATAGCTTTGTGTTTTCTTAGATTTACGCACAAATAATTCTGTTTGCTTTTTAGAGAGAAATATTCATCAGATTGCTATATTTTCGCAAAAGGAAAAAGAAAGTCAGCATGAACTAAATTAATGATAACTATTGTAAAAAAGACTTTTTTGTTTTATAGAGGAAATACATCTTAGCTATTTGGGAGAAAAAAAATTATTCACGTATTTGGTCACGCGTCAGTATTTCTGCACCAGAAAAACTGGCATATACATTTCTTAAATGAAAATATTTATTGAAAATTTTTTATGGATACATAATCATCCTGATCCTAGTTCGCCAGACAGCCTAATGTAGGCCAATGCCTCCCTCAGAAGATTTTTCCATAACAACTTCCGATTTATCTTTGATGTTCAATTCTCTTCATTAATTGCAAGAAAATCAGACTCCACCAAATCAGCGTCTCTCTCCGCCTTCTTGTTCCCGTGAATCTAAGAAGCAAAATCTTTTTTATTGTATTGTCATCACTCATTCGAATCACGTGGGCCATCCAATTCATTCTATTTATTTTTATGTATTTAATAATATCAGGTCGTTTATAACTCTTGTGAAGTTCAAAATTAAATCTCCTTATTGTTTTCATTTACACCACCACCAAGTGCTTTATGAATACAAACACACATATTTTTAAGCAAAGAAACTACTGACCAATAAACTTTTTTTTCATGATTTATTTTTTGGTTAACTTCTCCGCTCCATAAATATGTTATATTCACGTATCCTCCAACATTTTAGATTTCACTGAACTATTTTGTTTTTCGTTAATTGGAACCTAAGCGGAAAGTTTTAAAACAAATAAAATTTGTATAAAGTTTTTTCTAGCTTGAATGCATAAGGTTTAACTTGGAATAATAAAGTTGTGGTAGAATAACTATTTTATGAAAAAACTAGACAAGTCAGTTAAAAGGTATAAAATTATTGAATTTTTTGGTTTAACTAGGTAATCTATAGAATAACGATTACTTGATAGTTAAAGTATGAAATGCGGCACTCGAAAGTTCGTTGAACCAGTTTTAGTTGCTTTTAACCAGTTTTGAACCTGCTTTTAGCTGCTTTGCAGAGGCGTTGCGTGTGTACGCTTCCGTTGCTTTGCTTTTAGACCTAATTAATAATATGAGCAATAATAAATTATATCTGCTTTTCCTCATTATTTATTAATTAATCATTCGCATTAGGGTTAAATATTTTTCTTTTCCAGAGATTTTAGCTATTCATGATTAATAAATTTCTAAAATAACTTTGTAATTATTTAATTTTTAGTTTAACGCTAAATCATTAGTTATTTCACAGAATAACTAGGTAAAGTATGAAAGTTTTCAACTATTATATACTTTAGCTGACTTGTGTAATTCTATCATGAAATACCATGTTATTCTATGAAATAGCTGAATTATACATTTTAACTGTAATGTATCCAGAGGATTTTATTCTCTTTTTTTTCTATTTTTGTTTGACTATTTTGTGTGTTTCTTTGGATTACTCTTACTTTATTTTACATTATTAGTTGTCTGAAGCAATGAAATCTAACGGTACCATTATCTATCGAGTTGAGACGGACAACTCAATTATTGCAAGCAGCCAAATTTAATTTTGTGAGACAAGGCAATCGTGTTCACCATGAGACTTTACTTAAATAAATGTATGTATTTTGGTTTGAAACTGTGAAATTACACCTGAAAGTGTAGCAACACTAGAGACAGGAATCTGTGTCCAACCACAGGCGGCATTAAGGATGCATAAACTTTGTCCTGCACAAATTTATCTACTCCCAATACCTCTGCAGAAACACATTATTACTCTTGTGGGGCCTATTGAGCTAGTTATTCAGGAAATACCAAGTTATTCTATGGAATAACCGAGTTATACACTTTAACGGTAATGTATGTAAGCCTGTCTGCTGTTTTAAAAATAACACTTAGGAAGAAAAAAAACTGTACTAACACTAAAGACTAGAATCTGTGTCTACACGATGTCCAACCACAAGTGGCATTAAGGATAAATAAGCTTTGTCCTGCACAAATTTATCTACTCCCAAATACCTTTGCTTAAACACTTCACCACTGATGTGGCGGATATTGAGCTAGAAACATGCTAATGAATTCATGAGCAAAAAAAATTCTCCGGGGTGGTGTGTTACTGTTTATAAAGGCAGTTTTTCGAAAGCTCTTTCCTCATATGAAATTATGCTTTTTTCGAATAATACGCTATTTTCGTAACTGCTGTGAGCTTGCTACAGTTACTCATGACTGTTAGGACAAGTTTAGCCTATTATGAAACCAGCACTGTCGATGCTTATTTTTGAAAATGGCGCGAAACGTCAATATGGAGAAAAGCCACAGTTTTGTGAAAATGAAAGGCGTTTGTGGTCTAATTTTTTAATATTTAAAAACTTTCCCCAATGCTGCATTACCTGGATTTATAAAAATTTTAAAAGTTGGAGAATAAGGTAGTGAGTTTGATAATTTCAATCTAGAAATTTTGATAATTGGCAATTTTTTAATAAAAAATTTTAACTTTTTAAATTAAGTTACTTGTTCGTTATAAAGCTCAGATAATTCTTCACAGTAACATGATATATATAGTTTAAAATCCTTGTTTTGCTTCAAGTGTAAGGCACTTAAATTACAGCTTTTTTTCCCTTTGAGACAGAGCTTCGAAAAGCCATGTTATGTGTGCACACGGAGCACGTTTGTAGAATGTGCCAAAAACTTGTTGGCGTATCTGTCATTCCGAGAATCACTCGGCTTTGAGCACCATACACACGTAAATAAACTATACTTTAAAACTGTTCGATTCAATTGAAATTTGACCCAACATTAAAACAACCGTAATGGACACAGATTTTTTGTTTTCTTGAAATAATTGTCAGAAATAAAAGATTTATTAGACTTTTTTTGAAAAACAAGGACATGTTTCTAAAATGAGAGCTTTAGCGCATAATGAGTTTAAGTAAAATACCATAGGTGGTATTTTGCCTTCAGACAAAGTAGCACGCTGAATTCAAATATAGGAAAAAAAATTGCGTTCTAATTATGCGTCCTTTTTAAAATCTTAAACTTTAATGCACTTGTTTTTAGGTAGAGGAAGAGATAACACGGCTAAAAACCGGCCTTTGGAAAGTCCGTGTACCAACGGCTTGGCGAAGACACGCCCGACGAGAACCCAAAGACAAGTGGAACAGGTAAGATAAAAGAATTTTTTAAAATTATTTAACTTTTTTGTTAATTTATTAAATTGTTTTGAATCTTTCTAAGATGATTAAATTTAAACGAAGCGATTTGTACTTAAATTGTTCTTTGCATAAATGTTTTAATTCGAAATTGTCCTAATGTATTTTGAGGATACAATCTGCTGTCTATTTTATATTCCATCCCATTTGCTAAGGAGTAAAATTCAATTATGACTCAAACCGAAACTCGCGCACAGGCTTTTTAAATTGATGCAAATTAGATGAATATTTTATAATTTCCTTTTAAAGTACTTATCAAGATTGATTTTTTATTTTCTCATTTATCTTATAATTATGTTTTATTGGGAAATGAATATTATTGGGTAACGCATTATTAATAATGCATCATACATTATTGCAGAATTCTTTTAAACCTCACTAGGTAAAATGTTTCAACTGTTTGAGATGTCTATTTTACATAACTAACCTGCATTTGCGTCACATGGAGAGCAAAACCAAAAAAAGGCCTTAACGAAGGAAAATTTCTCCCCAGTACTTTATCTGAAAGTTCCCTTCAGGATTTGGTTCAAAATTGCAAGGCTACGGAGTTGAGCAGCAGACGTAAACTCGAAATCGGGTCGGCTGTTCAACGACTTTGATTAAAAAAATATATATATACATAAAATATTTATACACGTGATGGCATAAAAGAGTTTTACGTTATAACTGGCGCATTTTGATCATCAGAAAATCACATGGAATGATCAGGGTGTACAGTGGTCTCTCTAAAATATTATAGTGGTATGTTTGTCATTAAAATGGTACTATAAATATTGAGAAGTAAAAAGTTATTACCTTTTCGCTCTTTTACTAAATAAATATTTTGGGTGAAATTATTTATAGCAACCAAATATTCAATAATACCCAAAACGTTATTGAAGTTACAATACCTAGCAAATGATTGCATCAATTTCCACTCAATAAAATTGGGAAATTAAGCTGCTAAACTAAATCTAAATTATGCAATAAAACATTCAAGATCTTTCAATCAAATATACTTTTAAATTTTAATGCATCAATGTGCTTATCTAGAAACGAAGAAAAAAAGCGATTGCGTTGCAATATACGAAGTCTTTGGGTGAAGCTATAAAAAGGCAATATGGAGGCAAAGTCCACTTCTAAATTTATTATTAAAAATATTAAAAAATAATACGCATAGGAATGTTCGTAACATTATTAAAAAAATTTCGATTGCTTTAAATTAAAAATTTATTTTTAGTTACTATTTGTTTTTAAATCGAAATGGAATTGGAAACTAAATAGGGGAGAGTGGGGTCAATTGTAACATTTTTTACTTAACTATTTTTAATTAACAAAAAATTCAATATATTATTAGTATTAATTGACAGACGAGTAAAGTAGACTCTCCTCTACTAGAAAATATAAATAAATACCTTATTTTAAATGTTATTATATTAGTTATTAACAATTTTTGACATTCGTGTACTTGTTACAATTGCCCCCACTTACGGGGTCAATTGTAACAGTTCATAAATTCAACTAAAACATAGTTAATTATACATATTATCATAGTTGTGATATATTTCTTTATTGATCAAAATAGTAGTGATATTTTAGGAGTAAAAATAATAATGAGCAGAGACCTAAAGGGTTAAGCTTTTAACTTTAAGGGGTTAAAAATTTTAATTTATGCTGTGAAAGGTGACAAATAAAATAATGCACATGCAACATAATATAAATGATATAGGAAACTATTGGTGGTTCTTAAAGAGTTAAGTAATGGTTTGTAAAC